TCTCTATCAAGTCACCTCTTAACCTTCTTCTCTCTAACGAAAACAGCCTCAAAACCCTCAGCCTTTCCTCATAAGACCTTCCCTCCATACCAGGCAACATCCTGGTAAATCTCCTCTGCACCCTTTCCAATGCTTCCACATCCTTCCTATAATGCGGTGACCAGAACTGTACACAATACTCCAAGTGCGGCCGCACCAGAGTTTTGTACAGCTGCAACATGACCTCATGGCTCCGAAACTCAATCCCTCCACCAATAAAACCTAACATACTGTACGCCTTCTTAACAACGCTATCAACCTGGGTGGCAACTTTCAGTGATCTATGCACATGGACACCGAGATCTTTCTGCTCATCCACACTACCAAGAATCTTAACATTAGCCCAGTACTCTGTATTCCTGTTACTCCTTCCAAAGTGAATCACCTCACACTTTTCCGCATTAAACTCCATTTGCCACCTCTCAGCCCAGCTCTGCAGCTTATCTATGTCCCTCTGTAACCTACAACATCCTTCTGCACTATCCACAACTCCACCGACTTTGGTGTCATCCGCAAATTTACTAACCCATCCTTCTACGCCCTCATCCAGGTCATTTATAAAAATGACAAACAGCAGTGGCCCCAAAACAGATCCTTGAGGTACACCACTAGTAACTGAACTCCAGGGTGAACATTTCCCATCAACCACCACCCTCTGTCTTCTTACAGCCAGCCAATTTCTGATCCAAACCGCTAAATCACCCTCAATCCCATGCCTCCGTGTTTTCTGCAATAGCCTACCATGGGGAACCTTATCAAATGCTTTACAGAAATCCAAATACACCACATCAACCGCTTTACCCTCATCCACCTGTTTGGTCACCTTCTCGAAGAACTCAATAGGGTTTGTGAGGCACGACCTACCCTTCACAAAACCGTGTTGACTATCCCTAATCAAGTTATTCCTTTCTAGATGATTATAAATCCTATCTCTTATAATCCTTTCCAACACTTTACCCACAACCGAAGTAAGGCTCACTGGTCTATAATTACCAGGGTTGTCTCTACTCCCCTTCTTGAACAAGGGGACAACATTTGCTAGTCTCCAGTCTTCTGGCACTATTCCTGAAGACAATGACGACATAAAGATCAAAGCCAAAGGCTCTGCAATCTCCTCTCTAGCTTCCCAGAGAATCCTAGGATAAATCCCATCCGGCCCAGGGGACTTATCTATTTTCACACCTTCCAGAATTGCTAACACCTCCTCCTTATGAACCTCAATCCCGTCTAGTCTAATAGCCTGTATCTCAGTATTCTCCTCGACTACATTGTCTTTTTCCTGCGTGAAACCGATTGCCAAGTTCTGTACCTAGGAAGACGGCCTCAAACCTGATCTTGAATTCATATCACGCTACATGTAACCCCAACATACCATACTTTATTTGGCAAATCTTCCTTCATGTCCTGTTTCAATACCATCAGCTTGATCACTTATTATGATCTTTCATAAGGGCAATATGGGCAGAGCTCAGAAATAGGAAGGGTGCGGTAACAATGTTTGGGCTGTACTACAGGCCTCCCAACAGCGAGCAGGAGATAGAGGCACATTTATGTAGACAGATTATGGAAAGATGTAGGAGCAACAGGGTGGTGGTGATGGTAGATTTTAATTTTCCCAACATTGACTGGGATTCACTGAGTGTTAGGGGTTTAGATGGAGCAGAATTTGTAAGGAGCATCCAGGAGGGTTTTCTAAAGCAGTGTGTAAATAGTCCAACTTGGGAAGGGGCCATACTGGACCTGGTGTTGGGGAATGAGCCCGGCGAGGTGGTTGAAGTTTCAGTAGGGAATAGTGATCACACTTCCGTAAGTTTTAGAATACTGATGGACAAAGATGAGAGTGGTCCTAAAGGAATTGGGACAAAGCCAACGATAGCAAAATTCGGCAGGAGCTGGGGAATGTGGATTGGGAGCAGCTGTTTGAGGCTAAATCCACATTTGATATGTGGGAGGCTTTTAAAGAGAGGTTGATTAGAGTGCAGGACAGACATGTCCCTGTGAAAATGAGGGTTAGAAAGGGCAAAATTAGGGAACCATGGATGACAGGTGAAATTGTGAGACTAGCAAAGAGGAAAAAGGAAGCATACATAAGCTCTCGGCAACTGAAAGCAGACGGAGCTTTGGAAGAATATCGGGAAAGTAGGACCAATCTGAAACGAGGAATTAAGAGGGCTAAAAGGGGTCTTGAAATATCTTTAGCAAACAGGGTTAAGGAAAATCCCAAAGCCTTCTATTCATACATAAGGAGTAAGAGGGTAACTAGAGAAAGGGTTGGCCCACTCAAGGACAAAGGAGGGAAGTTATGTGAGGAGTCAGAGAAAATGAGTGAGATTCTTAATGAGCACTTTGCGTTGGTATTCACTGAGGAGAGGGACATGATGGATATTGAGGTTAGGGACAGATGTTTGATTACTCTAAGTCAAGTCAGCATAAGGAGGGGGGAAGTCTTGGGTATTCTAAAAGGCATTAGGGTGAACAAGTCCCCAGGTCCGGATGGGATCTATTCCAGGTTACTGAGGGAAGCAAGAGAGGAAATAACTGAGGCCTTAACAGATAGCTTTGCAGCATCCTTAAGCATGGGTGAGGTCCCGGAGGACTGGAGAATTGCTAATATTGTCCCCTTGTTTAAGAAGGGTAGCAAGGATAATCCAGGTAACTATAGACCGGTGAGCCTGACGTCAGTGATGGGGAAGCTGCTGGAGAAGATACTGAGGGATAGGATCTATTTACGTTTGGAAGAAAATGGGCTTATTAGTGTTAAGGAAGCATGGTTTTGTTCAGGGAAGGTCATGTCTTACCAACTTGATAGAATTCTTTGAGGAAGTGACATAGTTGATAGATGAGGAAAGGGCTGTAGATGTCATATGCATGGGCTTCAGTAAGGCAGTTGATAAGGTTCCCCATGGTAGGCTGATGGAGAAAGTGAAGTCGCATGGGGTCCAGGGTGTACTAGCTGGATGGATAGAGAACTGGCTGGGCAACAGGAGACAGAGAGTTGTAGTGGAAGGGAGTTTCTCAAAATGGAGAACTGTGACCAGTGGTCTTCCACAGGGATCCGTGTTGGGACCACTGTTGTTTGTGATATACATAAATGATCTGGAGGAAGGTATAGATGGTCTGATGAGCAAGTTTGCAGATGACACTAAGATTGGTGGAGTAGCAGATAGTGAAAGGGACTGTCAGAGAATGCAGCAGAATATCGATAGATTGGAGAGTTGGGCAGAGAAATGGCAGATGGAGTTCAATCCAGGCAAATGCGAGGTGATGCATTTTGGAAGATCCAATTCAAGAGCAAACTATATGGTAAACGGAAAAGCCCTGGGGAAAATTGATGCACAGAGAGATCTGGGTGTTCAGGTCCATTGTATCCTGAAGGTGGCAACGCAGGTCGATAGAGTGGTCAAGAAGGCATACGGTATGCTTTCATTTTTTGGATGGGGTATTGAGTACAAGAGTTAGCAGGTCATGTTACAGTTGTGTAGGACTTTGGTTCGACCACATTTGGAATACTGCATACAGTTCTGGTCGCCACATTACCAAAAGGATGTGGATGCTTTGGAGAGGGTACAGAGGAGGTTCGCCAGGATGTTGCCTGGTATGGAGGGCACTAGCTATGAAGAAACATTGAGTAGATTAGGATTATTTACATTAGAAAGACGGAGGTTGAGGGGGGACCTGATTGAGGTCTACAAAATCATGAGAGGTGTCGACAGGGTGGATAGCAAGAAGCTTTTTCCCCAGAGTGGGGAACTCAGTTACTCGGGGTCGCGATTTCAAGGTGAGAGGGGAAAAGTTTAAGGGAGATATGCGTGGAAAGTTCTTTATGCAGAGGGTGGTGGGTGCATGGAACACATTGCCAGCGGAGGTGGGAGAGGCAGGCACGATAGCGTCATTTAAGATGTATCTAGACAGATACATGAATGGGCAGGGAGCAGAGGGATACAGATCCTTGGAAAATAGGCGACAGGTTTAGATAGAGGATCTGGATCGGCGCAGGCTTGGAGGGCCGACGGCTCTGTTCCTGTGCTGTGATTTTCTTTGTTCTTTTGTTCTTTGTTCTGCCTTAATTAGCTTGTACAGTTTTGGATTATTTGTCCCTTTGGTTAAACCCTCGTCATGCGGCTGCCATATCAATCATGTTATTGCAACCATTTACTTTGTCTCTAGCACCACTATTTTTTGATTTGTTTGTAATTATCTCTCTGCCTTAATTAATTAGATCATTCCTTCACTTGCTTTTCAGCTGTTGACACTTTACTGACATTGTTTGACACATTTGATCACCTGCAAAGACTTATTTGGTAGCTTGTCAATACTTCACTCAGCGTTTGAACGATTTTTTGACACACTTAATTACCTCGAATTATCTTTCGATCAACTCTCCTGTGCTTTTCACTTCACTTCGCACAGGAGCAGCGCTTCGAAAGCTTGTCATAGAATGATAGAGTCATAGAGTCATGCAGCACGGAAACAGACCCTTCAGTCGAACCAGTCTATTCTGAACATAATCCCAAATTAATCCTGTCCCACCTGTCTGCTCCTGGCCCATTCATATTCATGTCTCTATGCAAATGTCTTTTAAACGTTGTAATTGTACCTGCCTCCATCACTTCCTCAGGAAGTTAATTCCACATGCGAACCACATTCTGTGTTAAAAAAATGCCTCTCGTGTATTTTTTTAAGTCTTCCTGTTCTCACCTTAAACATGTGCCTTCTTGCCTTGAAATACCCCGTTCTAGGGAAAAGAAAACCATCATTAACTATATCTATAGCTCTCATTACTTCATAAACTTCTATCAGGTAGCCCCTCAACATCCAATGTTCCAGTTAAAAAAAAGTCACAGCCTGTCCAGCTTTTCTTTATAACTCAAACCTTGTATACGCTGCAACATCCTGTCAAATCTCTTCTGAACCCTCTTCAGTTTAATAATCTCCTTCCCATAACAAATGAACCTGTTGGACTATAACCAAAGTCGTATGACCTCTGACTTTGTCTGTAAGACACGCCGGCAGTGAGTTCCAGATTTCCACCACCCTCTTAGTGAAAAACTGTCTCTCCGTACTCCGGGGGAGGGGGGAAGGAATATTGTGTTGCAAAGCCAATCTCTTTCAACGCGCGCTCGAACCGAAGTCAGGAACCATTGGCAGGAGGACTAAACCTGCAGGATGAAACCCCACAAGGTTTCCTCATCCGTCATCCCAACAACTCAGCATCGACTACAGGTCCAAACGGTACTGCATATTGAGTTAAATAATTGAGTTCTGAGGAAGGGCCACTGGACCCGAAACATTAATTCTGTTTTTTCCTTCACAGATGCTGCCAGACCTGCTGAGCTTTACTAGCAACTTTGTTTTTGTATTGCAACCTGCTCTCTTGTCCTCATTCTTATATCAGAGTCGCTTCAATATCCAGCACAAACTGAATTACAAGCCTGACGCACAAACAATGAGAAACAAATCACTCACCGACACAAATCCCATTGAGATCATTTTCGGATTCAGAACGGGCAGCTTTTCAAAGAAAAAAGACTGGGGATTTTTCCGGAAAAGCTTTTGGCACGTTTGTGTGACTTTTAACCGTGGCCCTTTCACTCGGGGATTGCATCAGTGTTGCTTGCTGGTTGAGTGGGATGTAATCTCCCTGCATTTCCATGAGCGTGTGTTGGGAGGTTGCTCTCGGCTTCGAGGATCTTGTGACGCAGGGCTGGGCGGGGAGCTGCTGCTTGAAGCTGCAGTGGCCGCTTTCTGCTGGAAGCGGGTGATTGGAGAGCGCAGGCACAAAACCTTGACGCTTTTCTGCTTTTTCCCAATCTCTTTCACAGTGGAGCCGAGGAAGAGCGAATCATTGATGAGTTTGTTTGAATTCAAGCAACAGCTCCTGAGTTGGAGGCTGCCCGAGGTGGACGGCGGCGAGAGCGAGAGTCGGAAGACAGGGGCGCTCAATGGCGAAAGGGGGAGCAGGCAGCCTGGTAGCAAGGCGGCGAGACCAGTCAGCCTGGTGTGGCGGCATGAGCAAGGTTGAGGCCGGAGCGGGGGAGGTCGAGCCCTTGTGAGGAATGCATCCCCAGCATGGCCAGGCGCTCACAGACTGTGGTATAGAACTTTTAACGGTGATTCTTTTTTTTCTTTTCCCTACATTTTAGAACGAAGGAGTGTAATGTGCCTTTGTAACTAAATTGGCGCTGTAAGTGGCGACTCGTAAACTTTTCTCTGTACTCATGTGACAATAAAGCTAACTTTAATTCTAATTCACAGATTTCTGAAGGTTTAGATTTCGATACATGTTGCGTCCGGTTTAAAATGAGTTTGCAACAGATTTTAATTTGAAGAATTGAAACTCTTCTGTGGTTACTACTGGATAAAAGTTTTTTGCTGGGGAATATTTTTTGACAACTGAAAGTGTGAAGCAACAATTACTGTTGGGATGGAAACAGTGAAAGCGTGGTCCCTCGATGGTCTCTAACGATCAACTGGGGTCGTCTCCATTCGAACCTTTCAGTGTCTTGTTTGTTCCCGAGTTTTCTCATCGTCTGGGTGCCGGGATAAGGGTTGAATTCCTGATGTGCAGCAATGAGAATCTTTTGAATGTCCCAGATCATTAAACGTCCCCGAGAACATCAGAGTAAATGTCCCAGCCTCTCCAAGAAGGGAAAGGCACTTTTACTGTCTGCTCAGTTGGACAGTTCACCTTCGATCTCCTCTGATCCGGTTCCCAAAGGGTTTCTAAAGATTCACAAAATTGAAGACTGGGTTTTCTGTTTTGTTTCCTTTCGATTGCCGGAAGCACCAGTGATTGAGAGATAGTAGGAACTGCAGATGCTGGAGAATCTGAGATAACAAGGTGTAGAGCTGGATGAACACAGCAGGCCAAGCAGCATCACAGGAGCAGGAAGGCTGACGTTTCGGG